AAATTCTTGAGATATGAATCAATAGGATATGATTGATAGGGCACAAAGCCCTCTGTTAGCTAAGGTGGATTTAAATTTGTCCTCTTAGACAAACATTCAACCCCGGTCTACAAGGTTCCCTTGGACGAAGCAACCCATGGCTGCCGACAAGGATCCTTCTGTCAGGTTGGGTCGACTACCTCCAATGACTAAGTAGACCAGGGGCCACGATGGCCCGGGACGACGAAACCATGGGATCTTGATCGGGCCCATCATCCATTCCCCCATCATCCGCTTTAAGTGCTAGGTGGTGAAATTTTCTATTTTAAATATCAAACTTTTCAAATCTTTCCAAATTCCCAAATCCAAACCCAATTTCCAAATCTAATTTCTACTAATATCATATACCCAATGCTGCTACCATATGCCAGATAACCCGTATTCTATACGTATCTGATTGACGACTAGCCTTAATCGAAAGTTCTCTCTCGTGATCGGGAGGGGTAATTAACTATAGGGGCTTGCGCCTATAGGAAACTAGAACTCAGATCATAAAGTCCTCACAAAATGAGGGTGAAATCTCTGGGTAGTGTCTTATCTACAAACCCATCTGCCTTCCAAAATTTACCTTGTAACTTATTCAGTTAAAACTCTCTTGCTGAATAAAAAGAAAAGCGAGCGGAGGCCGAGGCTGAATTTTCGGAGCCCACAGTTTAGCTGGTTGACTTTCTATATTTCTTTCCACTATCACTTTCCATTGCCAAATTCTTAAAATGAATCTCTTCTAATCGTTTTAAAAATCCCTGTACTTAAATTAATGGGAAGTCCTGTCTTTTAGAGACTTGTACACATGTAGGGGCTGTTTGGTAGCAGGATTTAGGCCGGATTTGAGTGTAGGGGCTGTTTGGTAATAGGATTTAGGCCGGATTTGAGGCAGATTTGTGTGAAATCAAGCCAAACGGCCTAAAATGCAAAACCAAATTTAACGGTAAATCAAAGCTATGGTTGACGGAAAATTCCGCCTTTTCGTGGTAAATCCTGGATTTTTGAAATCCTCTTGTTCGGCGGATTTAAATGAAAGTTGTGCTGTTTGCCTCATCTTCTCACTCTTGCCTCTTCATAATAGCCAAATAGTAACACGGGATTTAACAAGATTTATCATGAATATTACCTAACAAATTTCAGGATTTATCCTGGGTGCTACCAAACAACCCCGTTGTTGGAAAAAAATGTGTTAGTGAAAGTATTTGGTATCTTAAGGATTCTATCATTACCGTTTTCTCCCCAATATTTTACCATTTTGATTTGCATATACATCTTATTTCCAGGTGCTACAAATGGTGCCATGGATGCTGGCAACCTGTTGAAGCCAATGCTAGGCCGTGGTGAGTTGCGTTGTATTGGAGCAACAACCCTTGATGAATACCGTAAATATATTGAGAAAGACCCAGCATTGGAACGTCGCTTCCAACAAGTGTATGTTGATCAACCTACCGTTGAAGATACAATCTCTATACTCCGTGGGCTGCGGGAAAGGTATGAACTTCACCATGGAGTACGCATCAATGATAATGCGCTGGTGGATGCTGCAGTTCTTTCTGATCGTTATATCAGCGGCCGGTTCTTGCCTGATAAAGGTAAAACATCACTAAAGTTTTTATGATGTCTTTCCTATTTCAAACAGGATATTGATAGGAAATACTTGTAGATCTCAAGTATTTCCTATCAATCTTCGGAAAATAGCAAGAATTCTTCACAAAAATCTGCACAAAATCATAAAACAGTAGATAATTTGTATTATTTGATGAAAGGGAAACGGAAAATAGCAAGATACAATTGATCCTCTATTCGAGAGGAGGATCGATCTCTCCCAAATCTCTAGACGCCGCTAGAGCCCAAAAGAAAACCAAAATCTAAGAGATATCGAATTTCAGCCAAATTTAGATGCCCTAACCCTAGGAAACAAACTATTTAATGCATACAATTCAAAAGTAAATCTCTAAACAGTCCCTACATTCAATTTCCCTCTTAAAATTCCTAAAAAAACCTTCCAAAGATGCTCCGTTAGCTCCTGCGGTTCGTGCGGCTAGAGCAGGAGGCGAAGACGTTCCACCTCGTTCGCGTCTGGGCCGGTCCCGCGTGGACTGGCTGGGCCGGCCCAATGAATCTGTCTAACAGATATTTTTCAGAGTAGCTCTAATAATCATTTACATGAGTCTGATTTTCTTGTGAATGAGCAATGCAAGTTGCCTACTTTTCTTAATTTGATTTTCATGCAGCTATTGATTTAGTTGACGAGGCAGCTGCCAAGTTAAAAATGGAGATCACATCCAAGCCTACTGCTTTGGATGAGATCAATCGATCTGTAATTAAACTAGAGATGGAGCGACTCTCTCTCACTAATGATTCAGATAAAGCCTCAAAAGAGAGGTTGGCTCGTCTTGATGCAGAACTTTCACTCTTGAAAAAAAAGCAGGCTGAACTCACTGAACAATGGGAACATGAGAAATCAGTGATGACAAGAATTCAATCCATCAAGGAAGAGGTGAGTATTCATTTAAAACATCTGCAGTTAATATTTGGTATTCCTGTTGTATTCCCATTTATCCTTTTGATCGATATTTGTTGGCAGATTGATAGGGTGAACATAGAAATTCAGCAGGCAGAGCGTGAGTATGATTTGAATCGCGCAGCTGAACTGAAATATGGAAGTCTGAATAGTTTGCAGCGTCAACTTCAGGAGGCTGAAAAGGAATTAAATGAATATCAGAGTTCGGGGAAATCAATGCTCAGGGAAGAGGTCAGAGGCAATGACATTGCGGAGATAGTCAGTAAATGGACAGGCATTCCAGTTTCCAAATTGCAGCAGTCGGAAAGAGAGAAGCTCCTGCATTTGGAGGAAGAACTACACAAACGCGTTGTGGGTCAAGATCCGGCTGTTAGAGCAGTGGCTGAGGCTATTCAAAGATCAAGAGCAGGTCTTTCTGATCCTCACCGCCCAATTGCTAGTTTCATGTTTATGGGCCCAACAGGAGTTGGCAAGACTGAACTTGCTAAAGCTTTAGCTTCTTACATGTTCAACACAGAAGAAGCTCTTGTGCGAATTGACATGAGTGAGTACATGGAAAAGCATGCAGTTTCTAGATTGATTGGAGCGCCGCCAGGATATGTGGGATATGAAGAAGGTGGCCAGCTGACCGAGATTGTTCGAAGGAGACCTTATGCTGTCATTTTGTTTGATGAGATTGAGAAGGCCCATTCTGATGTGTTCAATGTCTTCCTTCAGATTCTTGATGATGGTAGAGTGACTGATTCACAGGGACGAACAGTGAGCTTCACCAACACGGTCATTATAATGACGTCCAATGTTGGATCGCAGTACATATTAAACGTGAATGATGAAATGAATTCAGGTGTTTCTGCTTATGAATCCATCAAGCAGAGAGTTATGGAGGCAGCCCGTGCAATATTCCGTCCGGAGTTTATGAATCGTGTTGATGAGTATATTGTTTTCCAGCCTTTGGATCGCGAGCAAATTAACATTATTGTCAGGCTGCAGGTACAAATTTTTAACTTTTCTTTTTTCTATATTGGTTGCTTATGTTCTAATGAGTGGATGTTTTTATGTTTAATATCTCAAATTCAATTAAATCAGTGTTCAATTCCAGATCCACCAGCCTGCAAGAAAAATTAGTAGTTGCAGATAACATTCTTTAAGCGCATGAGTATAGTACATTTGCACTCACATTTTATGCACATAGATCTACATATGTTATCTGCATCTAATAATTTTTCTTGCTGTCCTGATCTGAAAAGAGAGTTCTTAGAAAAAAGAGATGAGAACAAGATGATATAATGCATCTAGTTTCGCGTCACCCATTCCTTTCTATTTATTGTTGATTATATGCCCAAACCATCTAAGGCGACTCTCTAATCTTATCTTCCACTAGAGCTACTCCAACCTTTTCACGTATAAAATCGTTTCACATTCTGTCTCTAAGAGTGAAATCACTCATCCACCTAAGCATTCTCATCTCTGCAACACTTAAATTTTGTGCTTCTCTTTTAATGGCCAATAATTTGCACCATAAAGCATTACAAGTCTCATCACCATCTTTTATATCACACAACAAGACCGATGCATTCCTCAACTTCAACCATCCAACTTGAATTCTACTAATAATATCACCATCTATTTCACCATCATTTTGAACAATAGACTCAAGATTTCTAAAATGTGTTATTAATGATTTGATCTCTCAAAATTACAATCCCTTTACTAGATCTATTAGTACTAAAATTACACTCAATGTATTCGATTTTATATCTACTCAAATGAAAACCTTTATATTCTTAAGGTTGACCTCCATAATTTAAGTTTTCCCTCAACTCCCTCTCTAGTCTTATATCGTTAGCAAAAAATATACACCATGGTACACCCCTGTATACAATGATGTGTAGATTCCCTAATGGCCTAGCCTATGTCTATAAATATGAAAGCTCCTCCTCTCTTGTTTTTTGGCTTGGCTGCTTTAAGAAGCAAATAAGGTCATCATCTCTTATATGAACAAAAGGAGATGATCTAGAGTAGGCATAAAAACAGTTTTAAGCACTTCACAAATGCTTATCTTAAATCCTGGATCCTTTTTAATTTTGAAGAATTTAGATACCATAAACTTTCATCAGTTTTATTGCTGTGATTGTCACCGTAATCTGATGTGATAGGCTTCATTTGAGACATTTTTTTATCTTTTTTTTTCAAGAAAAAAAATACAACAACAACAACATCAAGCCTTTGTCCCACTACGTGTGGTCGGCGACATGAATCCTTTTTCGCTATTGTGCCCTGTTAAAAGTCAAATTCTCATTTAAATCTAATAAAGAAAGATCATTTATAATATTTTCTAATCAAGTCTTTTTAGGCCTTCCTCTATCTTTCTTAACATAAGTCAAATCTAATACCTCAACTTTCCTAACCGGGTCATCAGAAAACTTTCTCCGCTACAGTTACTTCAGCCTTTTCACATATATGCTCATTTTGTATCCTATCTCTAAGGATAAAGACACTCATCCACCTAAGCATTCTCATCTTTGCAACACTTAACTTAGTATTATGCTTCTCTTTTTCAAGGAAAAGCAGTAAGTAAAAAAACAGTATTTATTTGGATGAAAGAACTGTACAACGTATTCCCTGTATTTCCCAAATTTTCTTTAAAAATTTACTTTTGAGAAAACATGATAAAAATTACGTTTTTAAAGAAATTTAAAAAAAAATCGAGAGAAATAAGAGCACACATACACACAAGCCGGTCTAAATAGAGACCCAACTAGTTTCCAAAAAGCTGGCAATGGTTGAAATCCCCCGAACAAGGAATTATGGCCAACTTTTGCGATAAGCTCATGATTACATTCATTCAAGTTTTGTAGATTAATACAGGACATGCATATAATGAACTAGGACTTTGTTCTGTTGCTTTTCTTGAAAGAATGATGCTCGATAGGTTACTGTTTGAGACTTGAAGCTTGGCAGAACAAGTCATGAACTTTCCTCTGCTGCTTATGTCATTCATTAAAAGGAACGTTTTTTCTGTTTGCACAGTTGGAACGCGTTCAAAATAGACTTGCAGACAGGAAAATCAAGATTCAGGTCACTGATGCAGCTATAGAACTGTTGGGAAGTCTTGGTTATGACCCTAACTATGGTGCCAGGCCAGTGAAGCGTGTGATCCAGCAGAATGTGGAGAATGAATTGGCTAAAGGTATCCTGAGAGGGGAATTCAAGGATGAAGATATCATAGAAGTGGATACTGAGCTCACTGCCTTCTCCAATGGCCAACTTCCCCAGCAAAAATTGGTTTTTCGGAGGCTGGAACCAGGTTCCTCGGATCAGCCATCCACTGAGAATCAAGAGGCTCTCTTGTCAAGCAGATAATTAAATTTGGGTACTTTTTCTGATTCCTTACATGTACTGTTAAGAGTAAATCTGTGCAAATATAGTTGTATTTGTATACTATTGAGTTATTTATATATCTTCTAAGTTGTCTTGTTCTCTGCAATAAATGCGTTCATTTTTGAATTGGTAGGAATCCAATGAAAGATTATGTAACTGTGGGCTCCGAAAATTCGGCCCCGGCCTCCACTCGCTTTTCTCGGCGCTCGAACGTGGTCGACGACGTGCTGAATTCGGCGCCGAACAGGTACGTAATTATATTATTTTTTTTATTTGTTTTGTTTTATACGACAGGTTAACAGTAACATATACTTGCCACTTCTAAATATTTCTTCTTCTCTGCAATCAAGATGTTTATTTTACAAATTATAGTGCAAGTGCTACGTCATGGTTCTTGAATTTGGTGAGTTTTGACAAAGCTTTTAGTGCTTTCAAAAGGGCTTGAAGTGGTTGCGGAAGGTGAGTGAGAATTGTAGTAGTATTGCTGGTCTTAAATGCTTCTGGTAAACCTGCAACTACTCCATTTCAAAGGTTATGATAGAGTTTCTTTCTTCAAGATTCCTGAAGAAAAAGAATTGTTTAGGTGAAGCTTTTACGGTTATGCTTGTTATTTCAGGGATGACAGGAGTTTCGTCCTAACTCGCATTATTTGGCATTAAAACCCTTGCCTACTCTCAATTTGATATTATGATTTTAAGGCTTTGTTTGGGATATTGTTTTTGCTATTCATTTTAGAAAGTAACAAAGAAGCTATCCAAATGAAACCTAAAATGCAAGATTTAGGCTTTTGGACGGATTTTTTTTTTGCTGTTTTGAAGAGATATTTGATTGAGGAAATAATAAAAGCGTTAAATCAAGATTTTAAAATTTGGTTTTGATTTAAATTTTTGTTTTGTAAAGTTGTCTAACTTGATGTTTTAATGGAATCATTAAGAATTTTAGTAAAATGTTGGTGATCATTTGAGAGTTTTATTGATTTTTCCTTTAAAATATAGAAGTTTTAGTTGAAACTCTTGAGTTTTATTTGAAATTTTATTGAAACTCTTTCCTTTAAGATGAACTTAGAAACCATTTAAGTTTTATAACTAAGTTATTTTGTTATAATAATTTTACAATAAAATTTATAAAAAATTTTAAGTCTCAAACATACATTTAATATGTCTCAAATTTCATTAGATTTTCTTAAAAGACGGCTCAAATTTTGGATGTCTAGATTGTCATACTCTAAATTTAAAAGCTACTTTAAGAATCAGTAAGAAAGCCGTCTCACACAGTTTAAAATTCAATACCTCTTGATTGATAGCCAAAACTCCCAACCAAGAAGCCAAAGTGAGCTACTTAGAGTCAAAATAGTAAAATTAGATTTTAGTTGTTTATGAAATCATGAATACAATATTCCTTGTTGAGGATTCCCTTTTGAATACACTAATTTCCATATCATGAGTGGATTAATTAAGTTTACTTACATTAGGTTCTTTAATGGCAACTCTACTCTTTTTGTTCTCATCAACTTCCCTTTCTATCCTTTTTACTGGAGGAGATGAAGATTCTTCCAAGTCCTTTCTTGCCTAGTAGTCTTTATTCCTCTACACCACCATTTTGCCAGTCTCTTGGTTGGAAAGTTTCTTCGTATGATCCATCGCATTTGAGAAAAGAAAAATGTAGTTTAAGTTGTTTTTCAAAGATGTTGTATGGTTGGGAATCCCAATCGGTGCTCGATTTCTCTCAAACGGCAACACCTCTTAAGTGGGGCACAATCAAGTGTGGGCCAGAAGATTTTTGTGGTGGGTGCCTCTTCTAGATCAGCTGAGGTTTAGTCACGCCGCCAAATGCCCTTTCAGGGATAACAGTAGGTGTATATCCTATTCTAAATAAAAATAATTCTCAAGAGCCGAGTTTAAGCAAAGTTGAATCAGTTTAAGGAAACTCAATAGAGTAAGAAGAAATAAAGACAACAAACTTGTAAGGATCGTCAAGAATTTTGTTATCTTAGCTATAATGGATTCACATAAAACTATACTTTATTAAAGATTAGTTAGGCATACTTGTCTAAACTCCAAGGCTAATTGCCCAAGCATAAAGGACTACTCGCTTATAATCCATCAAAACAAGTTAGCAACTTCATCCATTTGGTTGGCAAGTTCATCCAATTAGTTGACAACTTCATTAGCAAATCGATGACTTCAACCATTTAGATGGCAATATCATACATTGATAGCCTCATTTGATTGTCTATATATTCTTTTATATACTTTAAGCTAATCGCCTCACATACTTTGATGCATTTAGTCTAAAGATGGCTTCTCCTATTATTAGCTTGAACATACAAATAGGAGGTTTGGGAGACTTTTTTTTTTTTTTGGAAAATTAGGGGTGAAGCCCATTTATTAAGTAAACAAAATTGCATGTAAAATAATATATATATGTATAAAAGATATAAAGCTGTGAAGTTTTTTCAATTTAGATCAGAGCAATGGTTATTAGAATAATTAATTAGATTGTAACTAGAGCTGCGGGATTGATATAGAGATGGATAGAATTGGGAAGTGTTGATTGCATTATTTGGTGTGTTTTATCTATTGATTTATTGATTGATATTTATGAATTTGTTTTATTTTGAATGATTTATTTTGTATTTGTGATTTATTTATTGATTAGGCAAAATGGTTCCGAAAGAAAAATAAAACAAGACTAGACTTGATACTAAAGCACTTTTAATAACGTCTAAGAATATGGTGAAGTTTGTTTACATGTTCGCTTAGATAATTAGTGATAAATTGGCAAAAGAGTTTGCCATAAATTATAAGAAAATATTTGAAAATAATAAGAAAAGGACTGTGAATATTATGAAAGCATATGTTAAGAGTACACGTAATATATTTGGTGTGGGAGAATATATGTAGGACTATGTTATAAAGTGACATGACAATATTTTAGATGCGGTAATTTTGTGCATAGAATGACATAATGCCTATTGTCTGGATATGGGAAGAAACATATTTAGATTGGAATTAGATAATCTAAACTAGTGAAATAGCCTTATAAGATGTCTGATGATATGACTGGTATGATTTTATTTTATTTTTATAAGTTAAACTTTTAAATGTGTTTTTAGAATTGATTTTGACATGATTTTCGACATAGATTCTTGATTTTTTTTCTAAAATCAATTTGATTTAGTATATTATAATTTTATTTTAAGCATACTCTCTCAGATTGATATAAAAATACAAATGATGATTTTTTTTAAAAGTGGGGAGATTACAATGACCCAAAAGTTTAAAATGAAATTATTTGAAAAATATAAAAATATAATCCAACAAGCAGCGCTATGATGCTTTGCTGGCAAGTGCAGTGGCGCTGAGGGTGTTATGATACTAGAATATATCGTTTTGATATTGAAGGCTCTGTTCTATAGTAACTTAGGGGTATCATGCAACACTACGACACTACATTGTGAGCACTGTGGTGTGATACACTAAACATATTTTTTAAATATTTTTCTTTAAATGTTTTTGCCGCCCACCACTCTTCCCCTCACTTTATTGGGTTCACTTAGAAAAGAAAGAAATGAGCATAAGGGAAAGGGTGGAGATGAGGAGATAGAGAAGGGAGAGAAAAGAAAGGAAGTTCTCTAGGACTTCTTATTCTGTTACTTTTGTTATGAATTTTATTCTAATTGGTGTAAGTGACTATTTACTCCTACTTTTGACCGTTTTTATTTCTATGATTTTTCTCTTCCCCAAATTGATAAATTTATATTTTCTCTTAATTTACCTAACTTTCAAAGTGTAATTTTTTTGTATATGATAAATATGATGCTTATGATTAAATTTTGTCTGAATTTCATCGGTTAGATTAATATCTTTGATTTTCAGAAGTTAATACGTAATGTATAGATTTTTTTGCATTTCATGGATTAGTGTATTTCATACATGATATTAACTTAAATTTTATAGAGAAAATGATCTGTTTAATATAAGATAAATATGACATTTGCAAGTAAGTAATGAAGACTTGCCATCAAATTATAATTAATACGAGTTGTCTTTTAAAATATTAATACCATGTACAAGAAAGTGGGCCTACATGCTTTTTTTTTTTTAAGATGATTTGTGGCGTAATCTCAAATAAAATATTACATTGATAGACAAAGGGTGGAGACTCTTGATAATTTATTAAAAATTACTTGTGAATTGATTTAAGATTTATGAACAATAATTGTAAGATACAGATTGATAGCTAACTAGTCGATAATTGGAATTAAATTAAAGAATGAAAAATACCACATTAAAACTGGATGATCTGCCCTACTATTCATAATCATATTCATGATTGCATTTATATGATAACATATAAGTTGATTGATAGATAAAATATAAGTAGGACTGATAGAACTTGCATTGATGCTGATACGATTTGACATAACATATGACATGAATATTGATATAATATCTTGATATAACATACTATCATAACATATTTATAGACAACAATGCATGGCATAATGATTAAGAGAAACATGTGACAGAACTTTCAACATGAATATAATTGATATAGAACTTATGTTTGTTTCATTGTACATCACTTATTTTTGGTTTATAGCCTTTTTATTGATTTTTCTTATAGATGATAGCCTTCGTTTGCTTATTGAAATAATATGATTTCATTGATTTGATTGTAGGTATGGTATTATGAAGAAGTTTCCAAAAAGGGGAGGCAGAGACATCTATCCTAGCCCAAATGGCGCTATACACTTTATGAAGCCAACAAGACGAGTAATGCTTATAAAAAATTGTTAACCAAATTAGTGATTTTCTTTGTAAGATTTTTAGGAAGAATGATCGAACTCATTTAATAATAAAGAATTCTTATGAATTTTATTTGAAAATTTTTATTTAAATAATATGAATTTAAATTTAAATAGTTTTTTTTTATATTTTAGATAGGACGGCTTGATTGAAGTGGGCCAGTCAAATCATGCCGTCTCCATCAATGGACCCCAATTAAATTTGGTCATTAATAAACTCCGTACGCAAGCAGGCCAGGCCCACTTCGTCAATGGGCCAATGACTTTGTTAATTTAAAAGGGTATTTAAGACATTCCGCCCTCTCCACTACAACTCGCTTCCTTCCCTACCTGCTAGCTAATTACGGCCACTTGCCGGTATATTAAAAGAGCAGGGGGGCAATTTTCCGAGGAAAAAGAAGCTCCTGCTGATTTGATTACGCCCTGAATCTCTTTTTGATCTCAAATATTTTGATTTAGCAGATCCAATTCAATCGACCTTAACCAGTACTTTTGGGCATTTGTTAGGTATTTTGTATTTAATCTTTGAAATTCCTCCGCGGACTCGCGGCCAATCGGTTTTTGTTCGATGGTGTTACCTGCGGAGGAAGTGGTATGGAGGTCTCTCCTTTCTTTAGATTGAAAGAATGTAATTCAAATTTCAAAGTTTTTTGCTGATTTTTTTATCATCGGGAGGACGGCGACGGAATTTGTGTGTGTGTTTTTTTTCATGGCTTGGGTGATAGTGCAGGTTTCCAAGGCGGGGATGAGGAGGATGAAGAGGTAATGGTCTATTGGTAAAATTGAGAAAACGGGTGCAAGTTGGGTTACATTTGGTGATGGATAGCGACGCAGGAACTGAAGATGATCAGGGTTCCGGATGGTTTGAAGTGAGAAAGGTAACACATTTTTTAACATTACTTCATCCCTTCTATTTGTTTATCCTTTCGTTTTGGCTTGCGGAGAAATTTCTTATGGGAAGAATTGGAATGTCTTCAAGGATAATTCTCTCAAACCTGATGCGAAGGAGCGACGGTATGCCATATGCTGGATTTCTGCTTTTTTTATGATTAAAGGTTGTTGCCGATTTCATAAGAAAACTGTTGTGGTATTGGGATTATGTGTGAGAAATGCTTTGATCAGGGCGACTTGGAACGAAAAGTTTGCTTCTTTTGCATTACTTTTCATTATGAATATGGCTAGGATTTCATTGAAAACATTGATCTATATATGGTTTTTAGAAAATTTTCTTTTTGAAGCTGATAGGTTATTGTTAGGTTAGTTTTTTTGGATCTCATTTTGTCTGTGTTTTGGTACTTTATTTTTTATAGAAACACCGAATCAGCTCGAAGCTTTCTATCCAAAAGGTTCCAGAATCTTCCAACAAAAACCATTCGTCCTTATGGCACTATCAGGCTTCGAGAAATGCTAATGTTGTAAAATTTCCTACCGTGCAGCAGGCTGAATCTTTAAAAGGAAGAACTGGGCTCATTCCTGATTCAAATGTTTCTGTTAATACTTCAGGTTTATTATCAGAAGAAGCAGCGGAAACTTTAGTATGCCTTGATAAAATTGTTGGTGGGCAAAGGATTGATCATTCCCTGAAAGCTACAGACTCAACTGCTGAATTGACGGCAACTAAGGAGGGTTTAGTACAGGAAAAATTGGATGATATTCCCACGGTCAAGTGGGGTGATATTGAGGATGTTTCTTTCACAGTTTCAGTATCTGGAGATTCAGGCAAAACAAAGAATGCTGAAAGTGCACATTTTGCAAGTTGTGATGGCCAGAAACAGCAGAATCTTGTTGCGGTTGCTAAATCAGACGTGTTTACTTCCCATTGTACGCATGTTCTGGAGGAAAATGTTATATCAGAAAATGTGGAACAGTTTCCTGATGTATCGCCCTCTTCAAATGCCCCTGGAGAATTTCTTTCTGGAACATGGAGGGAGGTAAGTGAGGTTTCTTCTGAATACAAGGACATAACAGAGATTGAATCAGAAGAGAATCTTAAAGAAAGAGATGGTATTACCCATGTTCAAAATGAAGTACTGAATGACTTGATTCCTGAGGATGTAATTGTGGGTTCTCCATCTCTAGCTTCCCCTGTCGGAGGAGTCATAGAAATGACTACTGAGAAATCTTCTGACAATTCCTTGTTTAGAAACATGAGCACCTCTGAAGAATCTCTTATTAACAATATTACTATGGTGAATTCTAGTCCTCTACATAATTTGACAGACAGAAAAAATAATAATGTTGAAGTTTTTGCTGATGCTCCCACTGCCACAGAAGAGGTTTTGTCTGATGGGCCTGATCAAGGAGAAGATGACCATAGTGAGGGAAAAGAAAGGTTTCGGGAGAGGCTTTGGTGCTTCCTATTTGAAAATCTGAATAGAGCAGTTGATGAACTCTATCTTCTTTGTGAGTTAGAATGTGACATGGAGCAGATGAATGAGGCTATTCTTGTTCTCGAAGAAGCTATATCTGATTTCAGAGAGCTTACATGTAGAGTGGATCATTTTGAGCGCAACAAAAGTTTTGCTGCCCAATCATCAAAAGATGTGGCAGCAGCAAATTTAAAGACTGATCACAGGCGACCTCACGCCTTATCATGGGAGGTGAGATTGCTTAGTCCTTGATGATATATTTTGGTTCTTTTAGTGTTCTGATGAAATATGCACTATTTTTTATGATTGCAATCTGTACTTTGATGTTTTACTCTTTTGAATTTCATATAACTTGTGCAAATTTAACAATGCAAATTGAGTGGATGAGAGTCCTGTATCTGGGTATCTTGCGTCAATAGGAACCCTTTAAACCATATAATGTATGTAAGCTATTGGAATAATTACCCATGTTTGAGTTCCTTTTATTTATGAGGTCATCCATAGAGGACCTATAGATAATTTATTGATTGCGTAGCATTAACATTGTGCAACCGATACTTTTTTGTTAGAAGGGTGTGCTTGAAGATTGTTTGCACTGCGGAGAGAAAAAAGAAACAAAACCCCTGTTATATATTTACCAACTTTGCTACTATTTTCAATTTGGTTGTAAAATTCCCCTAAATTTACTTTCTCAGTTGTTTTGCTTTGCGGACGTTGCCATTACCATGTGGATCAATGAACACATAGAAATAAAAATAATTTGTAATCATGGTTTTGCTTTAAATTTGTCCAAATGTACATTCTATTTCAAGTCATTTTGTAGTGAGCGGCTCTTCCTCCTTATCGCAGCTACACGGACAACAACAACATCAAGCCTTTGTCCCACTACACGTGGTCGGCTACATGAATCCTTTTTTCGCCATGTGTCCTGTTAAAAGTCAAATTCTCATTTAAATTAAATAAAGAAGGATTCATTTCTAATATTTTCTAACCAAGTCTTTTTAGGTTTACCTCTACCTTTCCTAGCATAAGTCAAATCTAATACCTCAACTTTCCTAATCGGTTTATCGGAAGACCTCAGCTTAATGTGATCAAACCATCTAAGGCGACTCTCTTTAATCTTATCTTCCATTGGAGTTACTCCAACCTTTTCACGTATATGCTCATTTCATATCCTATCTCTCACGGTAAAGCCACTCATCCACCTAAGCATCCTAATCTTTGCAACATTTAACTTAGTATTATGCTTCTCTTTTAATGACCAACATTCAACACCATAAAGCATTGCAGGTCTCATCACCATCTTATAGAATTTTCCCTTAAGTTTGAGGGGAACTTTTCTATCGCACAACAAACCTGATGCATTCCTCCACTTCAACCACCCAACTTGAATTCTGTTGATAAGATCCCCATCTATTTCACCATCATTCTGAACAATAAATTCAAGATATCTAAAATGCGTACTCTTATTAATGACTTGATCTCCCAAAGTCACAATCCCCTCACTAGGTCTATTGCTACTAAAATTATACTCCATATATCACTAGGTCTATTGCTACTAAAGATTGATCACATTAACTACAATATAAGTATAATTTCTTCTTCTCTATTTTATTGTTTTTGCTTCCAGGGGATAATTGTGAATCAACACACAATTTTGATCTGGGTTTTGTCCAATGCTAATTGAAAAAGCATTCTTTGCCCAAACATGATTACTTGATCTTTTCGAGAAACTTTATTTCTTAGAGTAGTTATAGTCCACACTACTTTGGTTGCTCTCGCTATCTTGGTCAGATTTGCATTTGCTCTGTCACCCTTGCCTGCAACTTTGACCATGGCAAGTGGCCTGTCAGGAGGCCATTATTATTGACCCATCATCTCCGCCTTTCTTCAACCTTTCTTTACTTTATCCTACGAGATCATGGAGGATCTATACCATCAAAATTCAAGCCACCTTAGCTTTATAGATATAACGGCATGACCATCCCTATTGACTACATGACAGGACTTGTCGATGCCTTTCATAATAGTCTCATAATGTAAGTTACATCCTCGTCTGTATTCATATTTGTTTGTCATATATACAAGAAACTCAATCCTATTATGTCTAGTTATCATTTAATCTTCTAGTCCATTGACAAAAAATTATTGTATCCACTAATGTTTATAATATATCCTTAATCTTTATTCTATTAATCCTCTTATCTTTTAAAAATTTTCCACTTACATTAGAAAAAATGTAATGAAATGTTGGAACCAATATATATGCAAACAGCGTGTGCATAGAAATCGCTGTTTGCATAGAAATCACATCATGAATGCTTTTTGTATGGACCTCTATCACCACCCAAAAAAAATATTGATTTAATGCTAATATATGGTATAACCCAAATAAGATTAGAACATCTTGATTACTACACTCCTACTTTCTAAGGCTAGTCACAACTACTTTGGTTAGACAAATCCATCCTACATATCTAAATTCAACATACCTTTTGTCATTTGCATTTTAGATGGACCGTCTATTATTTGTTAATTTGAACATTTATATAGTGTTTTTTGGACACATGACGAAATATTTGTTCCTGGTAGGAGCCATTGATTTTTTGTTTTTTTCTGGTGTGGATGATGTATCCCATGTAATGAGATAAAGGCTTGATTTTGTTATTGTGGATAATGTGATATTTTTATTTTCAAACCAATGTCATTGGAGGCTTAAATAACATGCTATAAACATCTTTGTTACCTTTTTAATATTTAAATTTTTTCTTCTGTTATTGTCAGTATGCCATTTCCCATCTTCTTCTGCCTTTTTATCAACCTTTGCGCTCTTTTTTCTTATTATACCATTAATAATTCTGACTGATATTTCTGTACTAGGTCAGGCGAATGACAACTTCACCGCACAGAGCAGAAATATTGTCTTCATCTCTGGAGGCTTTCAGGAAAATTCAGTTGGAAAGAGGTAGCAAGCATATAGCTCATGATGGGAAAGACCTGATTTTTCCTCATGCTACCATCCAGAATTGTTCTGGAAATTCATCTAGAGCAAATGATAAGCGTTTAGATAGCCGAAGACAAAGCACCGGATCAGAGAGTTCCAGAGGGAGGGATGCCCTTCATGGAAATTCCATCAAAGATAAGGCAAATTCATCGGCCTCCTTGCATGGCAGATCATATTCAGCAAGAGCTGGTTTTTTAACTTCAGAAAAACTGCTAGTTTCTGTTTCTGGGAAGTGCAAGAAAGAATCTCTGGAACCAATTTCGGAATTTGGAAAACAGGCCTCTAGGATGGACAAATTGCTGACTGATAATAGGATGGACAAACAATCAAATGTCTCAGATATGATAAAAATGAACAACTCTCTAGGTATGAAAGAAAAAGATAAGGATAAGAGAAATGCAGCTCCATGGAAAACCATGGATGCTTGGAAGGAAAAAAGGAACTGGGAAGATATTCTAAATTCTCCGATGCGGAGCTCCTCCCGAGTGTTATGCTCACCTGGTGTGGGGAGAAAGAGTGTAGAGCGAGCAAGAGTATTGCATGATAAGTTGATGTCTCCTGAGAAAAAGAAAAAAAATGCTCTGGATACGAGGAGAGAAGCAGAAGAAAGGCATGCAAGGGCCATGAGAATTAGAGGCCAACTGGAAAATGAGAGATTGCAAAGACTACAGCGTGCATCAGAGAAATTGAATCGTGTCAATGAATGGCAGGCTGTTCGTAGCTTAAAGCTACGAGAGGGACTTAATGCTCGCCAGCAACGAAGTGAATCCCGCCATGAAGCATATATAGCTCAAGTAGTAAGAAGAGCTGGTGATGAGAGCAGTAAAGTTAATGAGGTTCGTTTCATTACTTCATTAAATGAAGAGAATAAAAAACTAATACTGCGTCAGAAACTTAAGGATTCAGAATTGAGAAGAGCTGAAAAAATACAGACAATCAAAATAAAACAAAAAGAGGACACAGCAAGAGAGGAGGCTGCAATGGAACGAAGGAAGCTCCTTGAAGCTGAAAAAATGCAGCGTCTTGCTGAAATACAAAGGAAGAAAGAGGAGGCTCAACTAAGAAGGGAAGAAGAAAGAAAGGCTTCTAGTGCTGCACGTGAAGCAAAGGCTGTAGAGCAACTTCGCAGAAAGGAAATAAGAGCCAAAGCTCAGCAGGAGGAAGCAGAGCTCTTAGCCCAGAAGTTATCTGAAAAACTGAGTGAAAGTGAACAGCGTCGCAATTTTTACCTGGAGCAAATACGTGAAAAAGCATCTACGGATTTTAGAGACCAGTCTTCTCCCTTGTTGCGTCGTTCTATAAATAGAGATGGCCCGAGTCGGCATTTATCAACAACTGTTGAAGATAATCAGACTTCATGCGTTCCTGTCATTGGAGATTCAGCATCTGAATTGCCATATCCCACACAGCAACAATCATTGAAGCGAAGGATAAAAAGAATCCGTCAAAAGCTAATGGCTCTCAAGCATGACTTTATTGAAACTCCATTTGTTACTGAAAATTCAGGGGTTGGATATAAAACTCTAGTAGGAACTGCCAGGGTAAAAGTTGGGAAATGGCTTCAGGAGCTTCAAAGGCTTCGTCAGGCTAGAAAGGAAGGAGCTGCAAGCATTGGCTTGATTGTTGGTGATATGATAAAAGTATGCCTTTTTCTGCTGCAATTATTTTCTTTTTTCCTATATTTAATATTGGCTATATTAGGGGTGTCAATTATTGACGTCGACCTGTTTAACAAACTCGTTGGGTTTGGGTTGTAGTTTTTGACCCGTTTGAAAAATCGGGTTGGATCTAGGTCAACATGCTAACCCGACATTGATATGATTTGACCCAAAATCTGAGAAGGTTTCATTGTCTTTGCCTCTGCGGTGAGTGCCATGTTAGTCTCACCCTGATACGTGGCAACGGGGCCTGGGTAGAAAACCGCTCTCCGCATGCTATCATAGGCTACCTGCCCCATCGCATAACCCGCCGCAGGCGAGTTCGCCGGCGCAGCATCCATTCCGGGCGGGGGAGTTACAGTGTACATAGTTGGCACGTCGCGGTAATGTTGGCAGTGGCGAATGCGTTGCCGTGTAATATGTCTTCCCTGTAGTGGGTGGATTCAGGCCGTGAGAATCAGGGATCAGATACACCGGTTGGTCTCCACCAGCCAACGAGGTGAACCTCCCACCGTCGATGCCACATTGATATGCCTAATAGGCAGTCAAAATCTATGTTGCGGCAGCCGTACTAGGAACTAATGTTGTCGCCGGAGCTGGTTCTCTACGATATGTAGCCTTTGGATCTCTTGAGTATGCCTTTGCCTACACTCGCACAGGTGCATCGTTCCTTCCGACAAGCCTCGCGACACCTTTTGGGAAACCTAAACCATTTGCAACAGGGTTCGCGGGTCGGGTCCGGGTTGGGAAACCTGACATGTTTGCAAAATCGGGTCGGGTTGGACCCGAACCCTACCCGTTGACCGGCTATATTGATTATGGTGGACATGTTATGTACCAAATTCCTATCATGCGCAGATTCCAGAGAGATTATTTGTTGATCTTATTGTAGGCTACAAATATTGGCGCCTGATCACTCTGCTCCTTTTTTAATGAAGAGGAGATTTTTTAACTGATTAAGCTCTGGGGTAAATTTTTAGATGGATTGATTTAATTGCAAGAAGTCTTGTTTGTGTAATTTCGACGTTCTGAATGCAAGGCATGATCTATTTCAAAACTAGAAGTCATTGAAGTAAGTTCGCGCATCAGCACACTTGTTATTCATCATTTTCATCGTTCACCCAAATCGTGCGTGAAAGGCACCTCTTCATGATTTTGGTATTTGAAATGTGTCAGTAAGGTTGATTTTGCTAGTATAAGACTTCTCCGATGATTTCACACAACTTTGAGGAATGTCATATCTCAGATGTTGCATCAGTTTGCTATCGATTTAGTTGAACGCTCTTGCATTGATCATAGGATAAATTTTAGGGGTAAAAAAATGTCCCACAACAAATATAGTGTGCGCTTGAAGTGGATTATGATTGTTGCAAACTGGTTGATCTTTCGGATCTCCAAATTTTAATTTCGGATGTCACACTGGGGATTCTTCTTTGCAAATCTCCAGTGTTACACATGAAGATTTGATGTAATAAGTAAATTAAGGTTTAGCTTGTTTTGAAATTTTGCTGAACGTTAATGATTTCCTTCTGAATAGAAGCGAGTCTGACTTCAAAGGTCAGATGTTGAATTATGATCTCTTCTAGCTTGACTATAGTAGCTTTTTGAGCTAATAGAGGTTGCCATTAGTTCGATGTTTTGTGCTTGATGGACTTGGTGATGACTTCTTTTTTATTAGTAGTTTTAAATTTTGAATTTTCTTCTGTCCTCATTTTGTGCTTTAACGAACTTGATTAATTAATTAACTTGAATTATCTTTGTGACTTGTTAGAAGAAATGAGCACGCCATATGTTCGATGCTTTTTTGCCTTGGTAAACTCGGCGAATGTCTCATTTTAATAGTTTTAAGATTTTAAAATTCTTTTTTCCTTATGCTTTATATGGGTTTGACAAAAGAACTCACTTGATTTGTCATTCATCAACTTATCAGGAGTTGAACATGCCTTCTACCCTATGTTTTTTTTTTGGCGGGTTTGATAAAGGATTCATGTCAGTAGTGTGATTCTCGACGCTTATGTTAAGTTTGTGGCAGAGAATTATTGGTCCAAAGTTTTGTGCATAATGACAGAACTTTTGAACGGAAAAAATCAATGCCAAACAGTGCATCTAAATTGGAGAATAATTTATTTGTACTTCGATTAGCCTTCGACTGATGTAATAAAAAGCATTTTTTATTTTCTTTATTATGTTGTATCAATAATGCTCCGGAGGACTCTTATAATATTGTTGTATACAATCTATGATGCACTGACACGCCTCTTAAAGAGGGTATGCAGTGTCAGACACATGTCGGACACGGACACTCGTCAGACACGTGTCCGACACAGCATTGGAGTGTCGCAATTTAAAAAATTAAAATTAAAATCGGACACGCATGTCGGACACGCGTGTCCGGTTATTAAATGATAAAATCGTTCGTTCTATTTAGCCTTTTCCGCTAACTAGAAGCCCTATTTTTCCGATCCACGAAAGAAATCTTCTAGGGCAGATCGTGAGAGCTCGCAGTCGAAGCCAAACGGAGCCCGCTGCCTTCGCCTCCCATTCCTTCATCATCTCTGATCGAGCCGAGGCCAAGTACAGCTCGTCTTTCCCATTCCTTCATTCTTGCGTGATTTCTGCGGTCATCCGAGGTAAAGTTCGCAATCAAGGCTAAACAGAGCACCTTCTGCGCGCAAGAGAGCCAAGACCTGTAAGTGGATTTCGCCATTTCTTCTCTTCATTTTTGAAAAGCCTAATGTACATGCTCGGTATCGCTCAGTACATGCTCGGTACCGCTAGGTACATGCTTAGTACCGCTTAGTACATGCTTGATACTGCTCAATATATGCTCGGTGCTGCTCAGTACATACTCGGTACCATTCAGTACATGCTAAGTACTGCTCAATATATGCTCGGTACTGCTAAGTACTTGCTCGGTACCGCTCAGTACATGCTCGGTACAGCTTAGTACATGCTCGGTACCGCTCAGTACATGCTCGGTACCGCTCAGTACATGCTCGGTACTGCTCAATACATGCTCGGTACCGCTCTACATGCTCGGTACCGCTCAGTACATGCTCGGTACCGCTCAATATATGCTCGGTACTACTAGGTACATACTCGGTACCACTCGTTATCTTCCCATACAAATAACAAATAAACTTTAAAAATAAACAGAACTTCAAAATTACTCTTACAATAAAATTTTGTTCCGGGCAGGTCGAACCCCGCCAGGGGGCAGCGCCCCCTTGGACCCCCGGCAAACCGATATATTGTTGTATTCATGTTGTGTTATTATTAGGATATTTTAATTTCACTTCATATCAATTTAATTTAATGTATTCATATGTATGATTGGTTTACTAGCAAAATGAGCTCTGTTGTTGGTGGGAGTGGATTAGGTGAAGGTTAAAAAAAGCTATATGTAGAAATTGATAAGCCGTTATGGATTCATGTTACAAAGTTAGGAAAAATATTTGAAGGAGGAGGAAATGTGTCATTCAAATGCAATTATTATTGTGGCACCTATAAGGGATATTATTCTAGGGTGAAGGCATATCTACTAGGGGTGTCAATATTTGACACGACACGAAAACCCGACCCGGAAAATTCGGGTTGAACCCGACCTGATTTCAAAACGGGTCGGGTTCGGGTTCAAGAAATTGACCCGTTTTAAAAATGGGTTGGGTTCGGGTTGACCTGACGGGTTGCCGGGTCAACCCTCGAACCCGTTTAATTCAAAA